AAGGCAGGGTTGGGTGCCCCTCCTGGACCTACCCCATCCCAGAATGTATCATGCTGATTCTAACTGCCTGTTTACTTGTGTCTCCCAACTAGACTAGGGTTGCCATGAGAGCAGAAACATCTGTCCTCTGTAATATGCATTTCCAGCATTTAGGACAAGGCCTGGCACAGAGTATGAACCCAACACAGGTAGTAAAGTTCATTCATTTCTTACCCATTCATTCATTCATTCATGCATGCATGCATTTAAAAATTCAATCAAGAACTTTGTGGAAATCCCAAGGTGGGAAGGAGAAAATAATTTTTGCTCAATTCTATACTCCAATACTACAGGAGTCCAGACCTCCTCTGGAGCCTTCATGGTCATAGCAACACAATCACGAAGAGTAAGCCCTTCCCGAGGCTGGAACCACACCACTACCCTCAGTTTCACAGGCTCCGCCAGAGTCCAAACCTTTACCATCCTCTTACCATGCCAACACCCTTGCTGAGGGGGCTGCCTGTGCCTGGCATACCCTTCTGTCCTCATACTCCCAGAAGGTTCACAGACATAGCCACCACAGTAGCCATCCCAGGAGCCCTGAAGCAACCAGGCCCTCCATTATTTGGCCTCTGACTCACACCCCCTCTGCAGACTGGTGTAAGCCTCAATCGATTTTGTGTGGCCTGCATGGTGCTTTTTTAAAAACAGAATTGATTTGCTAACATTTACAAATTGGGATATTTCACATCAATATCTAGTTTTCAGTTTCCTTTGAAAAGTTACAAAAACTGGCTCCACTGAGACTACATTTCCCCCCACCTAACCCTATAAATAACCAGCTAGAGTGGAGTAGCAGCTCTTCCCTTTTTTAAAGGGGGGTCCAGGCAATGACCATCCAAGGCCACTAACATCACAAAAAAGAGAAGCAATCAGACTTCGCCTTTGATAGATGTACTCAACCACCTATTAAGTGTTCTTGTAAAAGCAAAACACAAAAAACTCTCAAATCTGAATCTGATCAAAGCTCTGGAACTCACTACCAATTTACAGGAAACCCGAGGGAAGAGGCACATGTTAGCACCACTGCAGGGAGAGAGTCTGCAATCCTGACCATCCACGGAAAACCCAGGACAAACACCACAGTGGCTTCAATTATAAAACAAAAAACTGCAAGCAAAAATAAAGAGAGAGATGGGGGGATAACGTATATAACATATCAACCATCAAAAAGTCTGGACCTCGGGCCGGCCGAGTCGTGCGATGGTTAAGAACTGGCTTGGGATGCCAAAGGGCCCCGGTTCGGATCCCACATATGAGGGCCAGTGACACTGCCCTCCACAGCTAAGATGCTGAACAACAGCTCAACCTGGAGCTGGGCTGCTGTGAGTCGCCGGCAACGGCATAGGCTGCAGCCCCTGTGGCAGTGGGTTGCCATGGGCTACCGTGTGTAGCCAGCAGCCAGCATGAGCGGCCGTCCAGAAGCCGGCGACTGATCTGCCTCGCCTGGGAAGAGCGCAATGATGGTGCCAACTTGGGCCAGTGAAGCAATGTCCTCCACAACTAGACTGAAGAACAAAACAACAGCAACTTGTCTGTTCCCCTTCCCCTAATTCCCCAGCGCTGTTCCCATCCCCCCAACCCCCCAATAAAAAATCTTAAAAAAAAAAAAAAGTCTGGACCTATTTGGATATTGATTCAAACAATAAAACTTTTTTAAAAGGTGGGGGAGGACATTTATTAGACAACTGGGAAAATGTAAACATTGACTGTATATTAAGGAATTATTGTTAAATTGTTGGAGACATGATAATGGTATTGTGAATTTTTAAAGAGTTTTTTCTCTTAGAAATGCACGGATAAACATTTATGGATTAAAATATTTGCTTCACAATAACCTAGGCTGGGGCCCAGGAGTGGGGGTACTGATGTAGCAAGGTTAGCCAGGTGTTGATAATTGTTGAAACTGGGTCATGGGTAAATCAGGCTCATTATTCTATCCTATCTACTTTTGTATATGTTTGAAAATGTCCAAAATAAGAGTTTTGAAAGGGGGTGGTGTGCTGGCCTTGGCTCATCTGAACCACATGCTCCCATCTGAGTTTCCCCAGTTTGGGGTCTGGGTATGGCACCTGCTGCCTGGTGCAGGGGTCTTTCCTAATCTTGACTTATACTTCTATACACCAAACACCCAGATTGTGGCTACAGCCCATTATCTCTGCCCTGTGCTCTCAGGTCTGTCTGCGTGTATCGCTACATGACATTAGCAAATGTGGAGACTCAACTTATTTAAATGGGACACATTTAATGATCAATCCTTGGAGTCCGAATAGCTATTCCTTTCTTTCCCCCAAGAAGCATATGTTTATTATTCCTTTGCTTCCTAACTTTTAGTCAATAGCCTATTCCTGATACAAAGGATACAAAACAGGGTCCTTACAATGTCCACAGTGTGCTCGGCATACAACACCTACCAGTCTTTCCAAATAGACCTCTGTGGGGAGGTACTGCCGCTCCCTCCAAGCCTGACCTGTTAAAACCGAGCCCATTAAAATCCGGCCCAAGGGCACCCAGTTCATCGTGCTGTGAGCATCAGTGGCAGGCTAACACGGGCCCAGAGCTCAGGTCTGGATTCAGACCTGATTTATCTCAGTTCTACTGTGCTTCCAGGCTGTCTGTAATTTTGGGAAGGCTACTAAACCTCTCCAGGCCTCTTTTTTGTCATCTGTAATATGGACATAATAATGGTATCTACCTCTCAGCATTGTCAGGATTCAATACCATTGTGCTGAGCACAGGGTCAGTACCTGGCACATGCCCCATAAATGGACCTAGTCCCCTGTCCATCAGGGTATGCACGACAGATGGACTGATCAACTTGTTCAAGCATCGTCTGGAGATAGGAAAGGTTTCCTTCAGGAAAACCTAGGCACGACCTGCTGAGGCCCAAGGACACGGGCTAACTCTAGCCTCTCTAAGGAGATGTCTGCCCTCTGCTCTCTGCCCTCTTGCCCTCCCACATTCCCTGTGTCAAGCTCCACAAGGTACCTGTGTCCTCTGGAGAGCCATAGGAGGGGCTGCCCTGGGATAAGGTAGCCCAGCTCGAGTCCTCATCACTGGCTGCACTGTTCCGCATGCCAAACAGGAGGCTGGCACTCTTGCTGTGCTCCCGGGGGCCGTCTGCAAGGGCCTGGGGTCCGGGGGGCACCTCCGCATTCTCCAGGGGCTCAGGCAGCCCTGGAGGAGAAGACAAGTCCTCCTCTTCCTCCTCATCCTCTTCCTCATCATCCTCCTCGGCCTCTCCTGCCGCCTTCTCCTCTCCATCATCTGCCCCCTGATCTTGGGAGCTGATGATCAGGCCGGGTCCTCGGAGCCCTCGGTTGGCCGCATTGTGGGCAGAGAGCTCCAACTCAGAATATAGGTGCATCAGGCCTTTGGGGCCCAGGGGTGCCGTCTCAGGCTCCTGGCTGGCTTCCTCTGCCAAGGTCAAGGTCACATTGCGGTTCTGATCACGGTGGGCTGTGGCGGCCCGCCGGAGCTGGTTCTGGCCTTCCTTTAACCACTTGGCATTGGCAGGGCCCGGCTCAGGCCCACCACCCTCCCCCATGGCGCTGCGCAGGTCCTTGGGTCCCACAGCCGTGGCCTGCAGCTTGGCGTTGAGCAGCTGGTTGTGAGCAGCGTGCAGGGGCAGGGGTAGGCTCAGGGCGGGACCTCCGTGGCTGTTGGCATTAATGGCTGACTGGCTCAGTGATGATGGAACAGACATGGCCTTGGCAGACTCTGTAGGGGCAAGGGGAGAGGAGACTATGTTGAGCCTCCAGCTCAGGATAGCAGCACCCCTGCCTCTGACCCAGGGCTGCACCCTGCACCGCCTCATCTCGCTTACACTCAGCAGGCCAGCACACACTGCTCCATGTCCTATAAGTTTTTTTCCCATAAGCGTGACTGAATTTAACTCCTCTCCCCCATCACCACCACCCTTATCGCAGGCCAGGGCCGGGTCCGAAATCCATCCCATCCCCAAATCCCCAGCCCTGAGCTTCCTGGGATAGCACGGCCAGCCCCTGCTTTGCCCTCACTCCCAGCAGCAGAGCCTCCACACAATGGCTCTGTGCATCTCCAGCCCCAGCTCATCCGACTGGGGCTTACTGTGCCAGGGACACAGCTGGCATGGGACTGGCTCATGTGCTCTGGACACTGGACACTGACTGCCCCCTTCCTCCTGCCACACTGCTATCCACAGCCCACCACTGTGAGTTCTCCAGGCTGTGTTCCTATCATCATAAATCACTGGGCTCAACCAGCCCCCAACCCCTGTGAGGACAGGAGAGAAAGAGCTGCAGACCCAGCCCTGGCATGGTCCTGGGGAGGCAGGTCGGAAAGGAAGGGCCTTCGGCTCCAATCCAAGGCTCCTTTGGCCAGCTGAAGCTACAATTTGTTCCTATAAAGTATCTCACCTTGGACACCAGTCCCTCTGCCAGCCCCTATAATGCCCCATACCTGGGTCACTGCATGAGCCTTTGACCGGGACCTTCCAGCTATTAAGGTCTTTGCCCCAATGTCACCTTTTCAGTGAGACCTTCCCGAATACCCTTTCAAAACTGCAAGTCACAGTGCCCCCTCTCAGCAATCCCGAAATCTTCCCTAGCACCTAGCACCATCTGACAAGCCATAATCATCATCAACATCATCATCATCACCATCATCATCATCGTCTCCTCATGACTATAATTTCAGTGCCATGGTGGTGAGGATTTTGGTTTTTTCCACGTAGTATGCCTAGAGCTTAACACAGTCCTGGCACAGAAGAGGAGCTCAATAAATATTTGTTGAATTAATGTATGAATGTGCCCTCCCATCTCCTCCAGGCCCCATTTTCGCATCCTCCCTGCCAGTTTCAGAAAACACTTTGGCCGTTGCTCATGGTGCCCCAACCAAACTCCACCTGCCCTTCAGGCGAGGGGATCTCCTGTTTCAGCGACAGCCAGCCTACTGTCCCCTCGGGTCCCCTCTTCCGTCCTCACAAGCCCTTTGCCGATCACCTTCTCCACCTGCATATCTTCCAGCCCCATCACCCCAGTGATCCCACCCTCAAGGCCCCATTCCACCCTTCCTACTCTCCTTGACCTTCGACTACTGGACTATTCTCCTTCCCTGACCCCCACTATAACGTGCTTGCTCCCTGACCCTCACTGCCCATCACAGTTCATGCTCCCTGACCAACCACTTCCTCTCATCTTGACCCTCTGAGACAGCCCCCACCACAGTACCCACTCCGTCCCTAATACCCTCACTCAGAGCTCTCTCTTCCTACTTGAGCCTTCCCCCAACACACAACTCTGCCTCATTGTGCCCCCAAACGCACACCTTTCTGTCTCCCACTGTACAGTTCTTTCTCTTCAATTTCTCATCTGAGAGCGCTTTGTCTCCATTCCCCACTCACAAGCTCTTTCATTCCCTGACCCTTTGCTTCAGTTCTCTCTGCCATCACAGTATAGCCCTCAGCACCAAGCACAGGTTGCAGTGAAGTGTTTTAGGCTGCCAAGCAAGCCTCTACCATCTCTCAGGTGCAGTGCATGGCTCTGAGGCAGGAGCCATAGCTCACCGTTCTGTCTCTTCCAGCTCCTCAGACCCTAGCACAATGCTATGCACACATCTGTAAAATAAAAGAAAAAAAGCTCCTGTCTGTGTCTGCTGGTCTGCTCAGCGTGGCTCCACATGGACAATGAGAAAATCTGTGGTCACTGACAACTGAAAAAAATGAACGGCTCTGCCTTTAGCCAGAATCACAGTAATCGTCCAAAAATGGAAACCAGATTGTGTAATTCTCCAGTTTGAAAAATTAGATGGCTCACTGCTGCCTTTAGGATAACTTCTGCACTCATTAGCAGGACACCAGGAGCCTCCTTGAGCCAATCCCGATGACCTCTCAGACCTCCTCCTCCTCCCTGCCTCCTTCACACCTTACCCTCCAGCCACATGAAGCATGGTGGATTCTAGAACATGTCACACTCTTGCAGGCCTGGCTCTTTGATTACCTTTGGATTGGAATCCTGTCTCTCCTTGTGAGAACCTCTCCTTCATGTTTCAAAACACAGCTCAGTGGTCACAGCTCCTAGGCAGTACGTCTTCCCTGTTCAGTCCTCCCTCCCCATCCTCAAGTGACCATTCCCTTCTTTGTCTCACAATGCCCAGCGCTGCATTCTATCAGAACATCTGAGACAGTATCTTGCTCAGCTTCAGATTCCCACTAGCGAAGACAGTGCACTGTGCATCTGGCAGAATGGGCCCTCAGTGAGGAAGGGAGGGAGGGATGGAGGGGACAGACACAGGGTGAGAGAAACCAGGAAGCTCAGAACTCGTTGGGAAGAGACACTGAGACAGGCTTGTGTGGCCCATGGGCTGGGGGATGGGCAACGGGAGCGTTAGGGACGGTGCTAGAGAATGAGGAAAGGTCCCTAAGAAAGAAGTACGATGGGCCAGGGGTCCTGACAGGTGCAGGTCAAGATCTAGGGAAAAGGAGAGGGAGGGAGTTAGCACAAACTGATATCCTGGCCCTTACGCTGTTCAACATGATTTTCCGGAGATGGAAGAGCCCATGACTCGGGCAAGCTCATGGTGAGCCCTTCTCTGAAGCAGTGGTGTATGGAGCCAGGTTTTGCAGAGGTCAGGCTGGGACCAACCTCCGTAGCACGTGGAGGTGTGATCTGGGAAGAGCTCATGCACTGTGAGGCTGGGACAGTGAGGAGTCAGGCTGCCTTCAGGGCAGTCCTGTCCATCTCTGGCCATCAGGGCAGAAAGTACTGGGGGAGGAATGCGGAAGGTCTGTTGTAAGTAAGTGCTGAGGCCTGAGCACCTAGCCCAAGGGAGTGAAGTCACCATCACCTTACTTTTTGAGGTCAAAGGATGACCAGCTGCCCAATATGTTCCAGAAGGAACACAACCCAACTTCTCCCTTCTCACTGGGGTTATCCATACTTGGAGCCTCTCAAAAGATGGAAAGAGTCGAAAGGATTCTGGTTCAAGGCAGGGAGCTGGGCAGGGAATTTAGAACAGAAACTAAGAGTGGCCATGAAGCCTGAAGAAGCTATCAGACAACAGCAGGGGTGGGGGGACTGCAGGGGTGAGTCCTGCTCAAGGTCAAGGGTCTTCTAACCAGACAGCTTACTATATGCCAGGCACTGTGCATGGCATCAGGGAGAGTAATAAATAATGAAGAAATGGTTCCTTCCCAGTGGAGCTCACAGTCTAGTGGTGAAATGGTCATTGAACAACGTGTTACAATGCAATGTAATGCCAGTATCTAGAATAGTACTTGGCACCTATAAGCACTCCCGATTTGTTGAATAAATGATTGAATATTATAATGGGGGAAGAACAGGACACTACAGGAGCCTGAGGCTTACTCTAGCTTAGGCATCACTAAAGACCTTTCTGAAAAAGGGACTTTTAAGCTGAGCCAAAAGCACAACTCTCCTTGGACCACCCCTGCACCCCCCCCCCCCAGAGGACAACCTCTCACTCCTAACTCACAGAGGAAATAAAAGCCATCAGTGGGGGAATGTCCTCAAACATACAAACTTACTGACTTTAGCATCTATCCTTTTTTCTGCTTCTTCCTAAAACCAATTGCTTCTCCTAACATTCGGATCCTTCTTTTTATGCCTTTCCAAGAATTTTACACTGCAGTTTATCCATTTTCTTTTCTATATAATCATCCTCTCCTTCTCGATGGGATCCACTGTCTCCCAACTTAAATACGAAATCTTTCTTGACCTGACCCTCCTCCAGTGCCATCCTGCTCTGTCACCCCTGTACAGGTAAACTTCTTGAAAGAGTTGTCTCTACTCGCTGTTGCCATTTTATCACTTCACTCTCTCTCCTGAACCCTTTCCAATACTGCTTCCACTCTCAACACAATTCAGTAACAGCTCCTACCAAAGTCAACATGACCCCTCTTGTCATTTAATCCAACAGACAGTTGAAGTCCTCATCTTGGTTGTACTCTCAGCGGCATTTGACACCAGGGTCCACTCATCCAACTTTCATCCATGGCTTCCACATGCTACATCGCCCAGTTTTCTTCCTACATTCTAATTACTGTCTAGTGACTTCTTAGACTCCTTTGCTGGCTCATCTAACTCTACCAGCTGGAGTTTTTCACGGCTTGTTCTTATGCCCTTTTGCCTTATGTATTTTTCACCCGCTATTCAATATAGGTATTCATTCATGCCCATAGTTTCTATATACTGATTTCCAAATTTACACCTCCATTTTAGACCCCTTATCTGAGCTCCAGACATGTCCATCAACTTTTTATTCAACATCTCCACTTGGATGTCTCAAACATACGCACTCATGTTTCTCTCACTTACCCCTAAGTGGTCCTCTTTCAGGATCTTGGGTCGTGGAATGATATGACCGACCATCCTGTTGTGCAAACCAGAAGTAAGGGTGCCATGCTTGACACTACCTTCTCCCTGGCTCCCCAGACTTAATCCATTCCCAGAAACGGACAATGTTCTCTCTGAGAAACATTTCTAGATTTGATCTATTCTCCACATCCACTACCATCAACGATCCACACTAAGAACAAAGACCTTAAGACCAAAATTTGTGACACGGCCTCAGCTGTCCTGCTCAGTCTCATCCCTGCCTATCTCTCCAGCTTTGGCTCTCTGCTCTCCTGCCTCACCAGCCTTCTTGGATTCCTCTAGGATAATATGCTCTTTCCACATGGTGTTTGCATGTGATTTCCCTTCTGCCTAGAACCTCCTTCCCCTACTTTCTCAGCCTCACTAACTTCTACTCATATTTTATCTCAGTTTAAATGCCACGTTCTCAGAGAAGCCTTCCTTGGTTCTCTCCAGATAACCACCAGACCAGTTTAGCTTGTGCTCTTGTGTGTGCCCAAGGTACCATCCACCTCTCCTTCATGGTATTTATTACATTTGTAATTTTATTCTTATTTAATTCCACCCCCCGTCCTCCACCCGAGATTGTCAACTCCATGGGGATAAGAAACCAGTCTATTCGGTTCATAATTATATCTTCAGTGCCTAACACAGTACTTGGTATATATTAGGTGCTCAAAGCATATTTGTTGAATGACTAAATGAACAAATAGATGCACATTTAAAGGATCACACTGTGTTGAGAGTACTTATAGGGAGGTAGGCAAGACGGTATGCTATTAGAGCAGACAAGGGGAAAAAAATGATTGTGGCCTAGATTAAGTTTGGTAGCAGTGGGGATGGAGTAAAATGAATGGACTTGAGAAATATTTAGGTACCAGGATGTGACAGAACTCAGTGACATTAGATGTAGAGGGTGAGGGAGTAGAGGTTTATCTAGAATGTTGCCCAGGACTCTAGCTTGGGTAACTGATCAGAAAGTAGCCATTTCTGAGAGTTAAAGGAAGAACAGATTTGGAACTGGGTAGAGAGGGAACACAGGGAAGATAATTCAGCTTGGGATCTGTAGGTTTGGAATTCCTGTTGGGCTTCCAGGAGGATGTTGTGAGGGCAGTTGGATACAGAATCTGGTCTGGGCCAGATATCTATATCTATATCTATATCTATATCTATCTATCTATCTATCTATCTATCATCTATCGAGAGAGAGAGATGAAATTTGAAGCCTTGGGAATGAATAAAATACCCAAGAGAAAGTGCAGAACGAAAGAAGAGCTCAGGACAGAACCAAGAGCTTCACTGACATCTAAAGCAAGAGGAAAGAGGTAGCAAATGAGATTGAGAAGGAGCAGACAATGAATGCCAAGAGAGAAACCAAGAAAATGCTTCAAGGCGAGTTGACAAACACCACTGAAGATTATGAAAAGGTAAAGGAGGATAACAGGAGAGTGTGCATTGGAGTTGGCCACATGGAGGTCTCAGGTGACCTTGGCTTGAACAGTTTCAGTGAGTACGAGAGACAGAAAACCGAGTGAACCGGTTTTAAGAATGAATGGGAAGTGAGGACATGAAGACAGTACCTGTAGACAAGATTTTGTCTTTGACGAGTGGAGAGAGCTGGGACTATGCTGGAAGGTCTGGGAATGCAAGAAATGCACAGGCGGATTCAAAACAGGTTCAGAACAACCTCTGAATTGGCGGTGGGAAAACTGCTCCTAATGAGTGCTTCTGTGAGTGCTAGGCCTCCCGGCAGGGCTGGGGACACAGCCGGCCCGAGAGCACACTTCTTGGTCACCGAGAGCGACAGAATGCGGCTTGAACGATTCCAGGCCTGGGACGCTGCAGGAAAACGTGCGGCCTCTGCCTACCTCACCCTACGTCCCCTGCCCAGCCCTTACCCTCCCATCCCCCACCCCCCATCCCCCACCGCCCCTCTCTTCGCGTCCCCTATACTTGCCCCCTATTCATCCCGGAGGGGCAGGAGGTAAATGTCCGGGAGGGACCGTGCTGAGGACCGAGGTGGAGCCTACAAGGGATGGTGGGGAAACAGGAGATGGTGGGAATGCGCGCGGTGCGAGGACTGCCCGCGGAGATGGGGCCTGGCCGGGGGTACCCGGGCCGCCACCGGTAAGGGGCTGCGCACTCCGCGGGACGCTGGGGGTCGGGATCCGGCCGCCGGGGCTGGGCTCGGGCCCGGGCAGCTCCTACCTGCGCGGGGAGGCCCCAGGCCGAGGTGGCGGAGGTGGCTCAGGCTGCGGGGCTCGGGCTCCGCGGCAGCTTCTCCATCACAACATCCCCCGCCCAGAAGCGCGCGGGCCGCGGGGCCGCGCCCGGAGCGGCGGGGGCGCGCGCGGGCGGGGGGAGGGGCGCCATCTTGGGCCGAGCGTGGGCGCGCGAGCGCGAGCCCCTCGAGGCTGCACTTGGACGCAGTGTCCGGGTGCCCCACCCAATGCGGCCCTGCGGCCTCGGTGAGCCCACCGCGCCAGCCTCTCCCCAGCCGCTCCGCCTGCGCCGGCCTCCCGGATCCCGGAGCGCCACCCCCGCCTCTGCCGACCCCTGCCCAGCCCGGCCCCGCCCCGCTCGCCGGGGCCCCGGAGTCACCCTGCGCGCCGCAGGACCTCGCCCCGCACCCCCGTGGGGAGACGCACCCACCGGGTAGGACCCTGGGTGGCTGTGGCGGAGCCAGCCCGCAGCCGCGCGGGGAGGGCTCCGAGGAGGCAGCTTGCTCCGCTCTTGCGGCAGCACTCCCTGGCGTCCTGGTGGAGAGGCGAGGAGGACGGAGCGCTGGCGATAATAATAGCTCGCATTTATTGACCGCTTACCCTGTGCTAGGCTCTGTGTTAAACCCTTTACGTGGATTCATCCTCGCGTCAGTCCTGTGAAATCGCCGCTATTGTTATCCTCATTTTTCAGAGGCAGATGCTGAGGTTCCGAAAGGTAAAAGGACTTGCCTGCCGTCACAAGGTGGTGAAACCAGACTGGAACCAGATGTTTCTTGACACCCTACCCCTGCTGCTGAACATAAAGTTGTGACACCAAGGCCTCGCAGGTGTCAGTAAATCGCTCCGCAGTAGAAATACAGAAGAGGTAGTGAAGAAGGGGGGAATGGATGAAAAGCGTGAAGGAAGGAATAGTGAGGCACAATATTTACTGCAGGTTGCCTGGATAGTGGGATAGCTCCTAGTGGTCACCTCAGTGGCCCAGAGGCCACCAAGGATCATGAAGGGGGAATGTTACCATCCAGAAACCTTCTCATGGCTCGTTTCTCTAAGCAGAGGTTTTAATTTATTGTAGTTACTATTGTGCAACTGACTGGAGGTGCCCTCAGGCTTCTAACACTTAAAGGTGTCCAGACTGAAATTCATTATTTCATCCCCTTTATTAGCCTTCTAAGAATTTTCACTGGGGTGAAAAAGAACTCTCCCCAACACACCCCATGTGCATGCGCGTGCACGTACACACACACACGCGCGCGCACGCACAAGACTGGAGGCAGCTCCACTTCATCCATCCCAGAGAATGACACCACCATCTACTGGCTTGCCCAAGCTAGAAGCCTCAAGACCACCTTTGACTACACTTTCACTTGACTTAAGGTGAATATAAATGTTTTCATGTTTTATGGAAATTTTCAAATATATACAAAAGAACGGTGTAATGAACCCTCATATACCCATCACTCAGTTTCAACAATTATCAACTCCTGGCCAAGAGTTTATGATTTGACAAACATCTATGATATATAAACCATGTACCAGGTCCCAAGCTAGGCCTAGGGATCCAAAGATGAATCAGATTTGTAATCCAAACTGGAGCATATAACATCTGACCCTGGTCCTTGAAAGATGAGTAACTATTACCTAGAAGATGAAAGGTGTCCTCGTTCACTTATTCATTCTCTTTCAACAAATATTAATAATTATTATGTGTGAGGCACTGTCCTAGGTGCTAAGCACACAAAGAAACCAGATACAGTCCCTGCCTTCTTGAAGCTTAAGTAACAGGGGAAAGACACATTAAACATGTGATTAGAAATGTGATGAGTATCTTCTAGGAGATGTACAGGATGCTATGTGAGTTGATTAAATTTTTCCTGGAGAGGTTTGGGGAGGCTTTAATATGGAAGTAGCACTTAGGTGAGGGGGATGGGGTGAAGGAGATAGAGGTCAGCCAGGAGAAGGGAAAATTATTCCAAGTCACAGGAGAAGTCCAAGAAGGCCAGTATGGGTGACAGTGGAGAAGCATGGCATCAGATGAGCTGGAAAGGTGGGCAGGGTCCAAATTAAGAGGGGCCTTCTATATTACACTAAGGGTTTTGCCTTTACTTTAAGGGCAATGGGAAACCAAAGGGTTTGAAACAGGCGAGTGGCATGTTCTCCCTTGCATTTTAGAAGATCACTTCTTGCTGCTAAGTGGGGAATAGATGGGAAGAGAGCAAAATTAGCAGTGTAGGGACCAGTTAGGAAGCAATTGATGTAGTCTAGGTGGGAAATGACTATAGAGGGGGATTAGGGATGGAAAAAATTGTATAAGTTTAGTAAATATTCAGGAAATGGAAACTAATGATCAATTGACTGATTGACTATGGACGTATGAAGGAAAGAACAATTTCCAGATTTCTGCTTCAGCAAATAAAAAAATCCAGAAATGTCATCAGTATACTTGTCTTCCCAATCCTATTGGGCAGGATGGCTGCAATATCCAGGGAAATCGCTTCAGGTAACCAGAGGAACACAAATGGGATGGTGAGGGTGGGGAAGAGTAGTCTAATTAGCTACTAATAAGATGCAAAAAGGGGCCAGCCGAGTGGCTCAGTTGGTTAAGAGTGTGAGCTCTGAACAACAGAGCTGCTGGTTCGATTCCCACGTGGGCCAGTGATCTGCGCCCGAGCTGAGCTGCCAACAGGTGGCAGGATGGCTCAGCCGGTGAGAGCACGTGCTCCTAACAACAAGGTTGCCGGTTCGACTCCCATGCCTGCTCCCCCACAACCAAGATTGAACACGGCACCTTGAGCTGAGTGGGAGCGAGCTGCTGCCGGCCGGCTGGATGGCGACTGGACTTGGAGCTGAGCTAGCTGCGCCCTCCACAACTAAGACAGAAGGACAACTTGGTTGTTCCCCTCCCCCAATTCCCCAATAAAATCTTTAAAACAAAAAACGAAAAGATGAAAAAAGGAAAACGTACAGTTCACACACAGTGCTGTTTGACCCACACACAGTCTTCCTGAATCCCTGATCTCCTCATTGGGGGAGATCTGCAAAGCATCCCTGTGCCCGTCATCCATTCTTTCTCTATTGTTTCTCTTCCCCCTTCTGATGCTCTCTGTGGCCTAGGAGCAAGCAATAGCCTATAAACCACCTCAGATGCTGTGTGTTATTCTAACCAATGTAGATCCCTCTGAAGCAGGAATCTTTTAATATTATTACCTTGGATCTATCATGAAAAACTTGAATTAGAAGCAAACCCATTCAGAGTCACTTAAACAAGAGCACTGGCGTTATGCATTACCAGGCAGTCAACACCCAAGTCACCTATGTGGAAGAATAGAGCTTTCATCTGTAGTAGAAGCAAACACACTAAGTGGTACAAAGGCAACCTTTTCTACTACTCCATAGAAGTATTGCTTTGATATTGTAATTTTTCTTGTAGTTGATTCAATAAACCCTCTTTCTTCTGGGTGGTTGTTATCATTTGGGAAATCTATGAGTAAAATCTTCCCACATAGTATATGGAATGGAATTCATAAGTCAGATGCTAGGCCTGGCAAGGACTTCCTCAACATCCTTCTTCAGCAGGACTATTCTAATACATCTCCAGGAAGAGCATATAGGGTGAAAAGAGAAAAGGACTGAGGACTGAACTCTGGGAATGCCAGCATTTGGGGAACCAGCAGAGGAAAAGAAGAAAACTGAGAAGAAACAGAGTAAGAGGAGAATCAGGAGAGAGTAGTGTCATGGAAGAAATCCAAGGGAGGAAAGATTTTCAAGGAGGAAGAAGTGGTCAACAGCATCGAATGCAGCAAAGATTTCCAATAAGGTCAAGGCAAAAAAAAAAATGTATCCTTTAAATTTGGTGACATGGAGGTCATGGACACCCATGATGTGATCTGTATCAGCAGAAAATGGAGGCAGAAGCCATAGTGCAATGAGTTGAGCAAATGAAAATGAGGAAGTAGAGTAAGTAAGTGCAGAATGCCCCTTTGAGAAATTTGAAAGAAAGAATAGACAGTAACTGAAAAGTGATATGAAGTTAAAGACTGGTTTGTCTTTTCTTTTTAAGATGGTAGAGACTTGAACACAGGCATACACTACCAAAAGGTACCAGTGCAGAAATGGATTTGAAAGGAAAGGAAAAAAGCAGCTGAGAGATGGAGCAAGATCCTGGAGGCGACGAGAGGAGGTGGGATCAAGGGCTCATGAGGAGAATTGGAAACCTTAACTCTCTGGGCTAAAGGGATGGGTGAGGACAAGGGTGTAGACAGGGTGATTAATAAAGTGGGAGCAGGCAAGAGGTTGAGGTATTGCATTCCCAGTGACATCATTATTTTCAAAGGGAAGGAGGGTTGCATGGAGAACAAGAAAAACCTTACAAGGTAAGTATTATCCTGTCGTGAACATGTTGTTGCCTTTGCTGTTGCTATCTGTGCACCATCCATTCCCTATTTTACCAGCAACAGCACATCAGTTTTCTTTGAGACACATCCCTTCACCACTCTAAGTCTATGTGGTTCAAATGGAAATCATGTGAAGTGAGTCCCACAACCCACTTCAGTGTTGGGCTCCTAACCCATTATTAGATCAAAGTGATCAATTCGGAGATGGGAACATGACTAAATCTGAGCCAGTGAAAATCAAATCCAGGAATTTTCCTGCAACTCTTGGGCAAGAGGTGTTGGTAGAATGTAAGCTATCTGGTGGATATCTTGCCACCAAGAAAGATGAGCCTGCCTGAGAACAAAGCAGCGCTCAGGGATGGACAGAGACAGATGCCCAACAACATCATTTCAACACTTACATTTCCCTCTGCCTGAAGTCACTAACTCTCAGTTAACTCTCCTTTTTGCTTACACCACTTTGAATTGGGTTTTATCACTTGCAACTCAGTTATGACGAATACATGTGGCAGATATTGTATGTTGGTACTCATTCCCACATCCAGTCTTCTGTAGTCTCCCCTGTACTAACAGGGCAGGAAATCTGAAAACTGCATTTCTCAGATTCTTTTGTTGCTTTGTTACAGCTAGGTTATACCAGTAGGAACCTTCACATGAAGATGGGAGGAAGGGAGAAGTCCTTCGGCTACTGGCAGTTCCTCTGGCAACATCAGCTTCTGATGTTGCAAAAGTGGAGGCGGTTCCAGCAGCATCAGCAGTACAAACTCCAGCCACATCAGCAGCTGGTGCAGATTTGTAGATGCCAGCTCCTTGGTCTTTGGGTCATACCTTTTCTCCCATTTGCTCCTCTAAACCAAGATTAGTGGTAGTTTTCTGGTCTCTGGATAGCCCTGTGTTTCCTCTTATGCTTCTCTGGACCTCCCCCATGACGTTGTAACAAATTCTTTCTACTAAAGCCTTCTCTACTTATAATATCTAGAGTGAATTTTGCATCCCTAACTGAGCAGTGGCTGATGCAATACACATTCCTATTTTGCATACACATGTGCATATACACACACATACACCATCCACAAGACTCAGAGAGGCTAAGTTTCTCAAACCTACAGAGTTAGTACATGGCCTAGTTGGGACATGTCTAACTCCAAAATTCTTACTCTTTCTCTGACCTGATGTTGGTTTTCGGTGTTCTTTTCTATGGCTAGATTAAGTAGAAGTGAAAGGAGACAGAGAAATAAAAGTATTATTAAGAAAGTTGTTCAGATGATCAACTTTGATGTTCAGTGCGGGTAGGAAAAACAATGGCTTTTAGGGAATGGAGAACTGGGAGATAATGCAGGGATCGACTCTCTCTATAAAGTCAAAAAGCACGAGAGTGAGAATGAAGTTGTGAGGGAGGCAGAAGGATAAGAATAAGAAGTGGTCACAAGGGGGATGTTGGAATTTAAGGAATTGCTTCCCAGGTGAATGATGACTAGAGTCAGAGTTGGGCCATGATAATTGGGTGGCTGAAGTGGGGACTTAGCAATTGAGAGGACAGAGTCAGAAATTTGGTAGATGATGGCCGTAAGAATGGCATGGCTCACTTGCATGATGTCAGAGGACCTGCCAGATCTGCATTTAATCTGCATAGAAAGAGGAAGAGAAATGAGTGGAGTCATGCCAATGCTGGCATGGATGGAACTGCTACAGGGAAAGGAAGAGGGGCCTGGTCTCAAAGCTAGAGGTACAGAGACAGAAAAGCATATTGACCATGGAGTGTGTAAAGAATATAGAGAAGCTTATTAACCATGGAGTGTGAATTCAAGAGGGAACAATGGAAAGTTTGGGAAGAAGAGACACAACGATGAAAGGGCAAAGGGGCCATGGAGCAGCTTGGAGGTGAGATTCCTCACTCGCCCTTACCCTCCTACCCAATCCATCAGCATGTTCTACAGACAATGTCTTCTAAATATTTTTTGATCTATCCACTTTATTTTCATCTCCATTTCCACCCAGTGTCTAGGCCTCCATGGATTACCACCTGGACTATAGCACCACCTCCTCCAAGACTACATCCACTGTAGTTAGTCTCTTTCCACCCAGCGTCCACTCTGCAACAGTCAAGGAATCTTTCTAGAATATAAATCTCATCACCTCATTCCCTTGTCTAAAATCCCTCAGTTCTCCATTGCCCCAAAGATAGACAAAATCCATGCTTCCTAGC